GAGTTCATCAACTTGTGCAGTGAGTAGCTCATTTAATGTACAATTGTTATGGAACTTATGTCTGACATAAGTTCCATGAATCAGATCTGTGGAAGTAATGTCAGACTCTATTTCCATGGACCAAAAGACGATCGATGGTAGTAATTGCACGACATAACTTCCAAACTTCCATGGAACTTATGTCACGGTTCGGTAGAAGTTATGGCCCTGATTCACAACTTTTAATATAGTTAAGTTGTAAGTTGTAAATTGGTATTGTGGCACACAACTCAACTCAACTTTGAAAACGTAGTTGTCTGGCATCATCGGGCTCATCGGTAAAACATAATTCCTAACTGATTTCCATTTCTTTGCTTTTAATTATGTTTATATGATTAAAACTACAAAATAATAATAATAGATTGGCGCTTACACATATGTTAGTGTTTGGCCGAGCTTCTGCTCCGATTTGTGGCGTGCGCCTGTGTTGTCACACGGAGCGGAGTTTTACGCCGACTCCGAACGGCGATTGTATTTTTATGAGAAGCTGTTTTTCATGGCAGAAATACACTCGGAGGTTTGCCATTGCCTGCCGAGGGACGACCGCTGTTAAGAAAAAACCTTTTTTCTATATTTTTTCCGATGTTGCTTTGAGCAGGGCTTGAACCCAAGCGTTGCGGAGTGGAAGCGCGCCACTACACCACAGCGGCCGACAATTAAAACTACATAAATAGTATTATTAAAATTCCAAAATTTGTATTAAATTTCCGATTTTTTCAATGGCTCCAGTCAACTGAAAAGAGACCATAACAGGGGCCCATGTCTGTGGAAGATATGTCGAAACCCCAAACTTGGAGCGTCCAAGGACTATTCGGAAGGGAAGTATTTTATTGTTAATTTTAAACATCTATTACTTTAATTTTAATATTTAGTATTTAAATCTTAATCTTTACTTGGGGTTAATTTATTCCATATCTAATGTAACTTAGGCTAACTTCCTCCACTGAGCACCTTATACTCCCCCTTTTGTACAACATAAGGCCTTATACTCAGCAGAATATCAGAAACGTTAAGTGGAGGAATACTGCGAACAGCGAGAGAATGAGAGAATGTGCGATAGATGTCCGAACGTTCTAGAGTTGCCTTGAGTGCGAGCACAGGTATATAACGCCGCTGCTATAGCGCAACACAAGTTCAGTTGCAAATAAGCAAGTTGGAAAACAGAGATCAATTGTGTCAGCAAGCTTTGTAAAGCGATGTAATTGTTTTAACCAGTATTGTAAAAAGTTTGTTGTACAATAAAATTAACTGTACCGTAATTTGGAAATCCTAAGTGTTTATTTAATAATCCAGCGATACGAACTCAAAAGATTTAGGGAAATCAAGGATAGTCGTTACAATTTTATGTGAAAATGCGTAACATAAGTGAGCAACCGTGGATGGGCGCTCATGAAAATCTGCATTTCAATGCGGAACCTTCAACATCCTGGTACCGAGAAGTTAGCTACTAAAAATGTGGTGTAAATCTGGACGAAAAATGGTACTGAAAACGAGGCAACCCGAAACCGGTTTGCATCCAACTAAATTCCTTCAAACTCATATCATCGTGTAAAAGTATTGCATACTTTTAGGCACTTAGATAACATTGTATATCATTTGTGTCAAAGTATGACAGTAATTATTCCTTAGATTATTAAATCGATTATTCCCTTCTAATTGACGATTCAATTGTATCGCAACATTTTATTTGATTAATATACGATTATTTGATTAAATAATAGTTGGAAACTAAACTAATAAAATTAAGCAAAACTAAAACAATTGCTCCACAGCCAGACCCCGGAAAACTAAAAAAGCGAGGTTAATCCAGAATTTCCCTGTAAGGCAAATATGTATTTCAATATTGAATATTTTAATACTTGGCTACGGAATACGGGCATCGCTGTGCGAAGCATCACACTTGTACTCAATCAAAGCACGATAAAAACATACATACAACGATATATATACTATATATGCAATATATAATGCAAAGCATACATGCATACAATAAACACATACCAATGACCAATACTTATAAATGTTCTTCTTTCTACTAATCCTGTTGACCGTTTGTGAAATTGATGGTTACTAATTATTTTATTGCAAATTGTAATTTTCATTGAATTAAGTTAGATTGCATTCCAATTTCTGGCTCTCAAAGTTAATGTGTAAATAACCAAGTTCTGCTTTTTCAACTTAAAAATTTTTCAACTCAATTAATTTAAATAATCATATTGTTTCAAAGCTGCATATATAATATCTACTAAATGTAAAAATGTATGTGTGGAATAACTTTTTGTACGTCAACATACATACATATCTACATATTAAAATATTGTAACTGTATTGTATTGTATTGGGTTTTTTTAGACATGTGGTTTTTAAGAAGAAATAAAACTCATATAGATTAATGTTTGGCCAAGAATCAAGCTTTATTATAAAGATAAGGGTTTGCCATTATGTTTTAAAAATGGTTTCGGGCAAGTGAGGCTGGCTCGAATAAATTCCAGCCGAGAGGCCCAATTTTCGAAAACTTGTTGCAGCAATTGGGGCCGTACGTCAACAATGACGCGCCGAATAGGCGTCAATCGTCTCGGGCTTATCTGCGTAGAAAAGCGACTTCACATAACCCCACAAAAAATTGTCCAGCGGTGTTAAATCGCACGATCTTGGAGGCCACGCCACAGGCCCACGACGCGAGATAATGCGCTCACCAAAAGATTCCTTCAATAAATTGATTGTTTTGTGGGCTGTATGGCATTTAGCGCCGTCTTGTTGGAACCAAAGGTCGTCCACATCGACATCCACCAATTCCAGCACGAAAAAGTCATTAATCATGGCTCTATAGCGTTCCCCATTGACTCTAACATTATGGCCGGCTTCATTTTCGAAGAAATATGGACCAATGATTCCCTCTGCACACAGAGCAGACCAAACTGTGACTTTTTGAGGATGTAACGGCGTCTCAACAATGGCTTGTGGATTATCATTACTCCAAATGCGACAATTTTGTTTCATCTCTGAGGCATGTATGGCATCTCTGAGGATGCGCTTAATCCACTAGAGTAAGCGTGGTGCGATACCGATCCACGGTTGCTCGAATTTACAGACTCTGCTGGGCGATTATGTTGTCCGAATATTGACGTAGCGCGCGATGCGTCGCCCGAATCGAACCATTATTTTGGTAATAAACTTGCACGATTTGTAAACGTTGTTGCGGAGTAAGTGTGTTCATTATGAAATAGCAAACCAAAGTGAGTATAAATCAAGTAACAGCTGTCAAAGAGACCAACTCCGAAAAAAGTATTGCCTCATTGAAAACCACACGTCTAAAAAAACACCCTTTACTTGATGAAATTTTTTTGATATGATCGCTTGCAAAAAATTTATGTAATCGTGTAAAACTATAAATCTATTAAGCATACATATACTCGTACATACTAACGTACCTACATACATATGTAGATAAATAAGTACGTAAACACCTATCAAGCTGATGTGGTAAATAAGTACTTTGCATATGTGCATTTGAAGTCGGATATTAGCACGATTGGCCCACTACTGGTAATCTGTAACATACATACAAGCATTAAGTACATTTTAACATACTACTTATTTCTTTTGCGTTTCCTGTGTATTTATCCATATTTGTACATACGTACCTACATATACATAGATATGAATAATGCAAAGCCACCGATCATGTGCTTGTTTGTACCTTAAATGCATACACAAGACCCTAGTAATTGTCCATAGATGCGTTCATACACTCACATATTTATGCACTAAGCATACATATACATACATATAAGCTTACATGCATATGTAAATATATATACAACATTATACCAAAAATGGTGCATATACTATATCCGCAGGCACAGAAATACATACATACATACATACGCATTTTAACCAACCAGGCAGCATGCTACTTCTTTAAATGCGCTATAAATATTTGCATATATCCTCAAGATTATCTGCCGGCACACAAATTGCTTCAAATATTCCGAAGCTGCAATTTCCACTTGTCTGTGTCTGTAAAGTGAGTAAATCACTCCTACCAAAAACTATGCATTTGTAAGTACATATCGCAAGTTTAATAATATAGAGATTAATCCAACGTACATATGAACTTGTGATGGTAAGTATCGAGTACTTTTGTGGGGCGAGTTCGATACTTTTAAGGATTAGGTATTTTTCAGAGTACTGAGTACTTTCCTTAAATATTCACATTAGAGTGGTTCCAAAACTTTTTTTTTTGGAAATTCATAAACGCTACTTCAAATTATTGTTATTTGTGTTAAAAAAAGAGAAACTTGTTTTTTTAATTTTGAAAAAAGAAGTATTCTTAGAGGTCGCGCTGGTCGGTTTTTTATAAAAACGCTGATGTTCTCAATTTTTGTATATTCTTGACATGTTAAAATGCAGCTAAAAATGTGGTTTTTACATATAATTACTATGGTATTATTGGGGAACATTCCCTTAATTACATACCTGTGTTGGTCAGTTAAAATGGGCCTACTGCCCGAAAATATGTTTTTATGAACCACTCTAATACACATGTTGATAACATTTCAATACTTACAAATCTCACAAGTTGGCAGTGTTTTATTTAAATTAATAAATGAATCCCAATTACGTCAAATGAATGGCTAACTGTACTGGGCACAAGTATTGTTCTTGAAATTTATTGAAACTGCAAATTAAGTACAATCATTTCTGAACACCCTCAAATGTAAATAAAACTCAGTACTTTTTAAGTCTATTCCACACTTAATACTGAGTACTTTGAATCGATCCTGAGTACATGTATCAAACCGATTATTGGAACAGAGTATTTTTGAGTACTGAGTACTTTTGAGTTCTTTTGTGAGTACTGAGTTCTTTGGAGTTATTTTGTGATTACCGAGTTCTTTGGAGTACTCAGTATCGATACTTTTAAAAAGCGGGTTCCGTGGATCCTTTTGAGAATCGAGTTCTCAGTACTTTTGGTATCGATACTGCCCAACACTAATATGTATGTACATATGTATATAATTTTGTGGGAAAACGAAATCAAAGTTTTATCAATTCATATACATACATATGTAGTTGGTATACAAAATAACAGAACATTATTGGGGAGTTTAGTAATTTGTTATACTAAACATATCGTTAGTCACGGTGGGTCGGAACGAAGTTCAATCCAAAAGTCTTGGCACTTCAAATTTTCTTGTGCATTTTTTTATTATGTTTTCTAATGGTGATTTGGTTTCTCCCAAAAACTGTTGCCCTTCCCCTGTGCAAAATGTGTTTGATGTTACACTCAACCCTTTAAATGGGCATGTTCTTGTCGTTTTGTCCTTGTCTAGATCATGCATTTCATAATATTGACGTTTTAAACAACCATATGATATTCAGGGCAACCATCTCCCCTGACAAAGCTTCACAGGGCAGAGAATGTGCCTCGTTTGCCTTACAAGAGTGTGGCATTTTTAGAAACAAACACAAAATTATCTCACCCGTATATATTTTAATTTAGAATCGAACACGAAAAGAGAAAGGAGCATTCAACATTTTTTTGTAGAAACGAAGTCACCATAAATTATTTAAGACCGAAATCGAGTTTTTGTGTTTTTTGTGCTGGAAACATTGTTAATCAACAATAACATCGACCCAAGGGCTTTTGTACATTAAATTTTCTTATACGTTTTATTTTCATTTTGTTTCTTAAAAAATTTAAATTCAAAAAGGAAAAAATCGTTAAACAATACAAGAGAATCGAGTTTCATGCTGAAAAATGAGCATCCATCTTCCAATTACTTCATATCACCGCGCAGAAACAAGTGGTATGACGAAGGGTGCCGCCCGGCTGCTGCAGAATACTACCCAACATACCAAGCTACCCTGCAGCCAATTGCAACACGCTCGACAGTTGAACGATACCAGGAAAAAGGGAAGGAAAAGAGACGCCTTTTCCGGATAAAGTAAATAGAGCCTTCAAGACCGAGGATGGTTCCTGTAGAGCCTTCAAGACCGAGGATGGTTCCTGTAGAGATGAAGATGGAAATATGTTAATAGATGTCCAGAGTACACTTGAGATGTGGAGAGAACACTTCTAAACGCTTTTTGGTGACAATTGGTGGCGTGCTTGATGAAGGAGAACGCCAACCAATATATAGGGACGAAGCTCACGTCCAATACGAATTGAAAATAGCTATAAGGCAGCTTAAGAACAACAAGGACCCCTGGGCCGACGGTATACCGGCTGAACTGGATCCTTGGTGGACAAAGTTTTTCACTACCTCAAAGTCCCTTAGTTCCGGGACGTTGCGATTCAGATTGACCTTTAAGCTCACGATAGTTGGTGCAAACGGCGGGATTTACCTTCAGATGGATTGGACAAAGTACACTGAAATTCCAGTCTTCGGGCATGTATTCATCAGACCAAATTGTGCTTAACAGCTGTTACATGCCCTTTGGCAGCATAAAATAATAAAAAAATCAGTTCTCTTGGATATATGTATGTTTAACGATTTTTTCGTTTTTGAACCTGAATTTCTTAGAAGAAATGCAAATAAAATTAAAAGTACAAAGGCCTTTGGGTTGACCTGACTGTTGAGCAACAATGTTTAGAGCACAAAAACACAAAACCTCAAATGTAACACTCTGAAAACGTTCGAAATGGTTTCAGAATTTCTAAAAGCGTTTCCTTAGTAAATTAGATTTTAGTGTAATTGGACTACTAACACGACGTGATAAATTTGGTTTCAACGAAGAGCTGTATACCGTTGTAAAAACGTTTGTGAAACATAAAAGTACGCCAGAAAATACTAACTCCAAGTTTTTCAAAGCTAAGTAAAAGCATTATATTAAAAGTTGCAATTACGGAAGAAATAAAAAATTAGCTTGTCAGAGCTATCTCATTAGACAAGCTTTTAAAATTACTTCTAAACTTAACTCAAATAACTGTTTTTATTTTAAATGAAGCCGCTTAAAATTAAGGAAGTAGGACAACAACCGATGTGCGGTTTCAAATAAAATTCTCAGATTCGGTTTTGGTTTACAAATCGAGTAAATCGATTTTTTTTTCATTTCGAATACTATTCTGGGAATGAACCAAAATGTGTTCGTTCGAAAACAGCGAACACTAAGTCGTACGCCTTTAGCTCGATCTCCATTTGAGAAAATGTGTGAAACTTAGAACGTGCCCGTATAAAAAAAATAATAATTTCAACGGCGGTAAAATATACTGGTTCGCTTCTTTTACTGTTTATAGTTAAGAACTTAAGATCATTTGCCATCATGTCGCTTTATTTTGTCACTTAAATTTGATCATGTTTCGACTGTGAAACTATGTAGAATCGCTACCAATCAAGAAAATACGATAACTATGAGTACTTTATTTTAAACTGTTTTTGCGCCAGACATAATTTTTAACAAAAACGGTTTAGAAATATCTACATTATACATATGCGAATATCTTAGCAAACTTAATAGTAAGATAGAGGATGTCCATCACATGTAATTTCAACATAGCTACACTTTTACACATTGACTGCGAGTACAAAAATAAATTATCAGCAGCTACATCTATACTTATCATAATACAGAATACAGAATATAAATTTGCACCACATAAGACTGCTATCTCTAGAAAGTTACGCACTTGCATGGCATTAATGTACCAAAAGCTTCACGAATTGGCAATTAAAATTACTCCCCCCCACAACACCTGATTGCATTCATTGTTTCTTTGGTAGAATTAGATTAGAGAGTATAATTACGCACCAAATGATGTTTTCACTGCACTCGTTAGCTGACCTAGTTCTTATTGTGCACCGTCACGGCCAACATCGACTTCAGCAAAATTGAACCTTAATATTACAACTTAATAACTTACTGACCTCAATTGGTGACCATTTTTCTAAAAAGCTAACCTTTTCAAGTTGTCGTTATTTCTTTCACGTCCCTAACTCATACAGCACGCTTCATGTACCTAACAATATTTCACTAGCCATTTATTAATCCTGTTTTGAAATACCCCAACATACAGCCAATTTATAGAACGAAAATATTTGTTTTCCTTTTATTTCTATTTTATAGCCCCATCAATTGGCGGGCTCAGCGGCCTCAGCAATTCTCGACCAATCGCCACTGCCACTTCCCGGCACACCCTCCCCAGGCAGTAGTTCGGCATCGACCGGCTCCGGCTCGGGATCCGGTAAAAGTATGTAGCACAGAAGTCTCACACACAATCAAGTTACATTATTCAGCCTTGTTCACTGAGCAATTTACCTTAGGTACTGATACAATAAAACGCGGTGCGTCGCCTTCCTCTGTTAAACATGTGAAAATCCAAGAATCCTCCAGCTCCTATACCATAAGAGAGAAACAACCGACAAAAGACTCACCATTTGATGATTCTTCACTGCATTCAGTTGGTTCAACAACATCTACAGTAACAACGATAAGGAAAGGCGTCGAGTTTTATGAACCACAAAAACCTCAAATAAAGGCTGACGAAAGTAGTTACTCGAAATATGGTGAGCTGGGGGTGAAAACGCGCACAACCTACAGTGAAACGAGCCCTTATAGTAGTGGTAAGGGGCCACTTTCAACGTTGTCAACTGAAGATTACAAAGCCATGCGTAACAAATCGAGTGCCACATCGTCCTCCTCGTCGTCACAAGCGACAGTTTTAAGCGCGGCTGGTTCCACTGCCACATCAGCGCCTACCACATCGTCTGACGATTCTGATGATATCATCTCGTACAAGTCATCAGCTTCGACGAATGCTTTGCTGGCGCAATCCCAGGCTATGACCACGTCGCAACTTATGTCCAAGTATCTGAAAAGGGAACCACGAGTTCAGTTTACCCCCATAAAATCTCCCGATTCTCCATCTCCACCAGGGAGCGATGGTCTACCGAAAGGCGTCTACCAAATAACTGCCGCGAACGGTAAATCCACAGGCGCCATTCGCAAACACTCCGCGCAAAGTGCTGCAAATGATTCACACACAAATACCAACAACAAGGGCTTATTATCACCATCGAGACAAGTAAACGACAAAGAACCAGTACAATCAGCAACCTCGGCATCAGCGATACCATCATACACAGCACCATCAACGTCATTTGTATCGACTGGCAGGCGGCTATTCGACAGTTTAGCGTCATCTGAAGCAGAAGGGCGAACACCAGCGGGAGGCACCAGCACAACAACAGCAGCAATGTCTGCAACGTATAACGATAATAAAAGTGTAGCTAGTAGTCACATTAGTAATAAGAATCAAAGTTCAGAGCACAGAAGTTATGGTAGTAATTTGTTTGGAAGTAGCGGGCACAGTGGCACAAGTCCCTTTGCCACTAATGGCAATGGCTCCTCAACAACAAATGGCACGCACAATGCCATGCACCTCTACGGCACACTGCCCAAAAGCGGCCCAGCGGCTAATGCAACAGGTAATGGTTCCTCGGGCGGTGCAGCTGGAAAGTACAGTTCCACTACATCCGCCTCGTGCTACTCCGGCTCGTCATCGTCCGGCGGGCCCACAGCCAGTAGTAGTGGAGTGAGCTCAATGGCTAGCTCCACCACCAGCTACGATTATTACAATACCAGCTCAACCTCGTATACGTCAGCGGCTAGCACGCGATCCTATGGAAATGGCGGCAGTAACGGTGGGGGTAATTATCACACGCTAGGTACATACAGGGTGCAATATGCAGCCACAAATCCCTTTTTGGATGCATTCGAAGCACCGGGCAATGGCAGTAGTGCGGGTAATGGCTGCCACGGGGGTAGTAGCAATAATGGCGGCAACAGTCGTAGCTATGGGGCTATTGAACAGCAGCCGGGTAATGGAAACAATGGTAGTAGCAGCAGTCACCATCGAACGTCGTTACTGGCTGCTTTGCATGGCAGCGATTCAAAAAATGGCAGCGACGAGTTTGATGATTTGAAGTAGAATCGTAAGGAGAGTGAGAGAATGAGTTTTATTTGGCATTTCTCAGTGATATTAAAAATGAGCGTTTAAGTTTTTTAAAACAATTTATTAACATGAAAACAAATTTTTAAATGTAGTTCACGCTGATTTAAAATGAAGGTTCACATATGTACATGCGCATACATATGTATTTAGATACTTCAGTGTCATCACTCAGATTTGCTAAATGAAATATTTTCTCCGAATTTTTATAACACTTAAAACTAAATACACCTATATAACAAAAACAATAATTTTTTAGTTAATAACATAACGAATACCAGCTTACAAAATGTGTACTCACACATATTACATACGTACATTTGTACATACCGTTGACTTTTTTAAATGTTTACACTTTACAAATTTACAAATAAAAAACAAGGTAAACAACAAAACATTAAAGGTCTGGGCAGGAAAACAACCTCAATTAAATGACAGTAAAACAAGAACATATGGTGAGATACATACATGCATACATATCCAGCCCTAACCGCCAAAAAATGTAAGCGAATTTTTTTTAATTTTATTTTTGATGCAGAAATGCACCTGGATGCTGTAATAGAATTTCTGTATCAAAAATAAAATTTTGAAAAAATGTCGCTTACATCTTTTTGGCGGTTAGAGATCGATGTGTTCTACTGATTCAGGCTCATATCGTCGTTTAAAGTGCAAAACCGCGTATCAACAAAATGCAAAACCGCGTATCAGCAAAATGCAAAGCCGCGTATGTGAAGTTGTAGAAATTATTTTCTTGATCGTAAAAACACTCATTTCAAAATGGTTCTCTTTTTTATAAAGCAATCGCATTTCTGGCTAGTATATTTTTTGAGGACGAATGGATAAGGATTGAGCCAAGAGCTTGTGTGAGCAAATCCAATTTTTGGCAGCCAATGTAAGTTACGCGGTTTTGCAGAATGACGATACGCGGTTTTGTACTTTAAACGACGATATGTATTTGTAAAAAGGTATGCAGAAAAACAAAAAATAAAAGCACACGTTAATGTCTATTTCATATGAATGAGCCATAGAAATTATAAAAATATATGAGGGTTTGACAACGGTGTCGTAAGTGTCGTGTTTTTGTATGTCGTAAAGTTTATAAGCTTAAATAAATGTTTAGAGAACTTCAAATTAAACCAACTATTTTTTAGCACTACAAAAATTCATAATATGACTTTGATGGTACTTTGCGAACTCCCTTAGGCGTTTAAAGTTTACGACATACAACGATACGACACTTACGATACCGTTGTGAATACCCCAATCACTAAAAATACAAAATTAAATTGACTGCTGATACCAGGACCAACCATATACACCAAGCTATGCGGAAACGAATTTTCAATACCAAAAAACGTTATCGCTTTATTTATGTGTACTTGTTCATTTTGTTTCGACATATGTAAATACGAAAAGAAATAAAAACACATACAATAGATATATAAAACAAATGCGTTAAATAAAATGCAAACAATGAATGCGTGGCAATCCAAGATAATGATACAGACTTATTCAGATGTAATAGGTATACATACAGAAATTTATGCATACATATGTACATATGTATGTACATATAGAAAACTTGCATGCATGCATAATATTTATATTATACATGCGAACTAGCCCCATAACTAGACGAATATATACTACACATACATACATACACATAATAGCCTTTTTGAATTTTACAAGATTTGAATTAATGTTGTATATACATACTCACATATGTATGGATTTATGTGCATATGTGTATGCAAACCTACGGTTGGGCACTGGTACATTATGCACGCAAATGTTAATGCATATTTGTTCATGTGCATGTGTGTTTGTACATATGTATGCATATATATATGTACATACATATGTATGTATTTGACGCACAAAGGCATCAAATAATTATACTAATCTTAATGCATACATATACATACATACATACATATACATACTTGTACACAAAACCAAATTGTTTTACAAATTTATTTTATAGGAATTTGTGAATTTTCGAAAACTTTATTGCTTCTTCTACTAACAAACTACATGCATATGTACATAAATATTTACATAAGAATAACTTAGTGTATATGTATGTGTTAAACTAACACAGACAGTTAGTTATACCTACAACTCGACATAAAAAATGCATTTGATACGTTCGTTCCCTTCGGACCCTTTCAGTGATAAAATACTTAATTTATCCAAATCAAGTTATTTGCAGAAAATTCCACTTTTACCAGTCCTTCTAAATACATATATAGTAATAGCTCGAAGAACTTGTATAAAGAGAAAGGGCAAACACATTTAACAAATCATAGTCCCAAAATTGCTAACAGTATTCGCTAAGTGGTATCGCCTCAAGCCGATCACCAACATGCACACAAACGACAATTACAGTTTAATGGTTGATAACAGTATTTTATAATAACAAAAAACAAAAATAATCTAACAAAAATCATTTATAGGTTTATATCAAACAACAAATAGTGTTAGTCACTTTAAAACTTCGTACGTAAAAAAGAACCAACATATATTAGACCAATCCACCAATTCATATTCTCAAAATCCACATTACCTTCATTATTAGGAACAAATTACAAACTCATAACATTTCAAAGGAACCGGTTAATTACCAAAGGGTACGAAGGAGCATTTCTCCGATGTGGAAAATTTGATGCAATTCAACAGCTCCCCTTTAAACGAACCCAACTGCATCCAAACCTTCATATCGGTAAAATGTTGATGCATACCTTTGGTTGATTAATCGATTCTAATACATATTGGATTATAGCCTATAAAGAAAAATGCATACCCATTTATATATACATGCATACTTTAAATAGAGTATCTAAACTGAAAGCAACAAGAACCTTACCTAAACCGAACCGCATTCCGCAACTTATATTACAATCTAAAAATTTAAACTAAATTACAAATTACCAGTACTTACATATACTAAAATATACATTAACTATACCTACCATATATGTATATAAATAACTAAATAAATATATACATACATATACATATATCTACAATAGACAACTATACTGTATACAAAGAGAAAACATATTAGGCTAAAAAAATAACTAAATTCCTGCTGGGTAATACAGAAATTCTGGACGATGGAATTTTTGAATGGTTTACTTTTAGTACATACATACATACATATGTATTCGTGTAAAAAAAGTAGCAAACGAAATCGCTTGACTGAGCGACAGCGCATATGGGCGTGTCGATGGTAACAGAACAGGCTCTATAGTGCATCTGATAAATGCGAAACGAAAATGAACAGAATTTATCTTTATGATTAGAGGATAGATAGAGACGAAAAAAAAATCCCCCACATATGTAAATACATATATACATGGATAGATATTTGCATACACTTGAAACGCGTTGTCAGTTTAATACGAATAAAGTCTGATATACATACTTACATACATACACGCGTGTGCTATATAAACGCAGTACTACATACATACATACATGCAAACTTATATATAAACAAATAAAATAAATATATATGAAAACATACTATAGCATTCATACGAGTGTACAAACATACATATAAACAATTTAGCGGAAAAAAATGAAATAAACCCAATTTATTTAATTGCAATAAATTATTTTGCTATCAGACCTCTAAAAAAGTTAAAATCAGGAAGGTAAACCAGTTTAATACCGGATTAACCAATTTTATCTACCAGATAATTAACTGAACCATTAAGCGAACCGAAATTTTCCACAAACTTTTTATATAATTTTAATGTTCGTAGCAATTATTGATAGACAAATTTTGCCAACTTTTTATTTTCTTCTTTAGTTAAATACCTATCAATTGCTTATATTCAATAAGATATATCTGCGGATAAAAAAATAAGATTCCTATATAAAAATCCATCTTAGACTTAACTGTCATCGACAAGGTTAATGTTGACCGTATATCGCTTGTCAGAAGAATTAACTATTAAATTTCAAAGTTGATATTGCCACCAGTGATGACCGTCAAGTCTCGGATGGGTTCTAACATCAGAAAGTAGTTTTTGCGTAAATTGCAGATAGGTCGTATTGAATATAAGCCCTCCATTTGTATTTTTGTTTGTTTACCATCTGAAACTTTTTTATACTATTTCGACTGCTGAGTAGAAGATCGACCTATCCCGACAGCCAGTTCGAAAACGCCCTATCTCGAATAACTTTTCAACTTATTTCAGAATTTGTTTGAAGAACGTCCTATTTCAGAATTCTCTCTATATCAGCACATTTTCAATACATTTTGAAGCGAGATAGGACCGAATTCTGAGATAGGGCATTCTTCAAACAAATTCTGAGATATGATGTTTTTCAATAAAATTCTGAAGAAATGCGTTCTTGAAAAGTTTTTTGAGATAGAGCGTTTTTGAGGTCTATCTTCCACTCAGCAGTCGATTTGTAGCGTGGTTCAAAAGTTATGTATGTTTTTACATATTTTTGTATATTGTTACTAAATAAATATAACAAAAACATACATACATAGTTTACTTTTTTAATTCCCGAACCGTTGGGCCGAACAAAAACCCCGGTGCAAAGACAAACGAACCAATCCAAAGGTGGAAAACGGCTCGAACCGCTGAACCGAACAAACCAAATTTTTTATCCGGTTCACGGCCCTGGTTAGAATAATTTGTGGTATAAGGCCACTTAATTATACCCATTTAAATAAAAAAAAAAAATTCCGTACGTAATGAAATACATCTAAGATTGTCCAATACCTCGGTTACTTTTCAGAAGACTTAAGGATTTCCTAATTTTACATTCTTCAAAATTTATTAAGCTTTCATACAGATTAGAGAACACGCACATGGCAAAACCCAAATTTTGCAGATTTCTGCAATATACTGAGTACACTAACGAACGAAACAAAGCGCCCAAAGCTCTTCAAAGGCTTTAACACGTTCGCTACCAACCGTATTTAGGCAGTGCGTCATCACAGACCAGGTACTTGGCCTTTATGTTCAAATTTATTATGTTCAAACAAGCATAAATATATGTGCTTACCGTCCTCCGTGTATTTGATTCACTATGAAGCTAATATTTTCTCTCTTAAAGTCGGTAAAGACGTTCACACGTGCACTGTAAATAAACATAACCTCATACTTTACAGGTAGCTGTACTCCCGAGACCACTTGTCACAAACGTGTGCCTATAGACCACACTGTATCCAACAACCCGCTATCGCAGACGGTGGAGACTGGAGGTATAATTTAATTAAGTTAGACCGGCGTCACACATTTGTGTCGGCGGTCCCACGTGAAAACCCAGCTGACAAATATATGTGACGCCTGGTAGCGAACGTGTTAAAAGACTTAACCCGTACATGGGCGAGCGCAGAGCAAAAGTTCTCGTAACTGATAAACGGCCAGTTTTTCATCTCAGTTTAAACGCTCGAGTTAGCTGGTTTAAGCAAAGATTGGTCAATCAAATTTCAGCCAGCCTTTAAATATAAATGCAGTTTACGCGATCTAAGTTCAAACTGCTAATCAAAAACTAGCCCTAAGTACAAGCCGCAACTAATATGCTTTTGAACCATACAAACTTTTAAAATTTATTGTTATTTTTCGTGCTTTTTTTTGAACTCATTGTATGTACATGCGCGTACGAGCTCGTGTGGAAGTCAAAATTTTTCGGCCCGTACCCGCGGCCCTTCGAAGGAGCCCGCCGGATCCCTACCAAAAGCCCGGCCCGT